CAGAAAACACTAAAGTGCTAATAGTGTGTAAATCAGTCCTCCATCAAACGAAAGAAATATCCTGTCATGAAAATCTCTTTTGGTTTAAAATGCCTACTATGCAATATTGATCTACTATGAAACATTAAACTAGCACACATATTTTGTAGAAAAATATTACAGCTGTGTTGACAACAGGTCAAAATAGAAGCCATATGGAAATGTTTCTAGTATAAGACTAAATTTAAAACAAATAAGCCAATTTCAGAAAGTACTTAGAGTATTTCCATTTTTGTAGTTTTTTTTTTTTAATTTCTTTTGCATGTATGATTCTTTGTTGCTTCTGTACTCTAAAACAATCCATTTGAATGACTCTATGGAACCCAATTCGTGAGGGTTAGAAATGATATATGTATTTGAGTTTGTATTTTTACTAGTAACTCTATGAGAGCCTATTTTGATTCAAATTGTTAGGCAAATCTATGACATTCACATGAAGTTAATCTGGGGAGGAACATCTTAATTTCATATAGCCTTTCACAAGTACACATGTCTAAAATAGACATGTTTTAACATCTAAAAAATAAGCAGTGACTGAAATTTGAGAAAGGTTATTTTTGTGATAACCATAAAACTGAAAAAGTCAATGCTAGAAGACATATAAAACATAATCTACTTGTTAAAAATCACACTTTCTAGAAAAATGAATGATGTTTATTTTCTTTTCTTTCTCTCTCTTTTTTGTTTTGTTTTCTTTTGCCTTCAGACAAGGTGTTGCTGTCTTTCTCAAGCTTTTCTCAAACTCCTGGGCTTAAGTGCTCATCCCGCAAGACTTCTGAGCAAATGTAATTATACAAAGGTGTCAGCATGACTGGCTTCTTCCCTTTTAGTCAATAGCATAATATTTTTCACCAACTCAGTGAGCAACCCAAATGAAAGGTCAACTAGAGAAGTCATTTGATTTGATTTCTGTAAGAATTATTTTTCCCTCCTATTTTAGGTAGAAATTTGAATTTTCAACACCACATAACATACCTATTTTAGGAATAACGTGACTAGAAAACAAAAATAACCACAATAATCCAGTAAAACCCTGGAAAATTCAGACCATACATTAAATGAATTCCATTGTTGAACCTAATTATTTTAAAATGAAGAAGTAAGAATGAGACTCGAAAAATACAGAGATCAAGGAATTACTAGCTTATATTCTGCATAAAGTAATAATGCAAAAATTTCTATGTTCTCAAAAGAAAATGCAATTCTGAGAAATAAACGCAGTGTAGAATAAAATACTGATAACATAATCTTATAAAAGGGAATTTTTGCTGTCTTTCACTTATAGTAAAACTAATGTCTGAAAACCCCCAAGTGACAGCATGTTGAATGTGAGTCAGCAATGTGTCATCACTATGTGGAACGACAATTATATTATTGACTTACAAAATGTCTAATGAAACAAAATAAATGTCATAATATACACGGATACTGTGAGTATATCATAAAACAATATACATTGGCATATATTACATTCTTTCTGAGAATACATTAAATGATAGTAGTATACAATAAGGAATTGGCTACATAACTACCTGAGATGTCATTTCTATGAAAAATTTTTGTTTGAAATCTTTGAAACCATCTAATAATCTACAGCATTGTTGTTTGAATTGGGGTTCAAATATATATTTTGAAGGTCCTGAAAAATGTTGTCTTTAAAAGCTTTGCAAACTTTAAACAAACTAAAAACATCAGAATAGAGAAATTTTCCACATTATTTAGTAATACTATTCTTAAGAAAGTTTGAAATAACTTCTTCCTTTCTGATTTGAATATTGTAACTGAAAGTAGAATAAAAGATTATTTAAATATCTTTAGTCTTGGTCATCAAAATAGGGATATTGACAGAATAATTTAGATTCATTTGAGCTTCAAGTTTTGCCAATTCTATACTCTAAATTGTCCTACTCATGTAATATTTGAGTGGTCAAAAATGTTTGTACTTAATTTTCTCACGCATCTTCGGGAATATTATCGCTATAACCTCCTAAAGTGGCACATGTACATTTTAATCACAATAATGATAGAAATGGTTCATTGAAATATTCCTTCTTTAAAGTACTTTCCTCTTGGTAGAAAACTAATTTTAGCATATTTAACAATAATTAATTTAACCCACCCTATTATGAGTGTTTCTTCTGCTTAAATATGTACATGAGCATGTGTGTGTGTGTGTATGTGTGTGTGTGTGTGTGTGTGTGTGTGTGTGTGTGTATCATAGGCTTGGGATATAGCTCAGTGGCACAATGCCTGATTCACAAGCATGAGCACATGCTTGTGAAGCACGAGGTCATGATTTCAATTCCTGGTAACAAAAATAAAAAGCAAGTATTATAAAATTATAGGTCATGATTTCAATTCCTGGTAACAAAAATAAAAAAGCAAGTTAATTATAAAATTATAGAAAGATGTTTGTTACTGAATTTGCTTTTTCTATGATTTTTTTATAATTATGAAGCTTTCATAAAACGCATAACTTAATAAACATGAATTGTGAAAATATATTCTTGGATTATGTAGTTAAATTGTTGTATATTTGAAAAATACAGTAGACACACATGTATAAATATACTATACCTAATATATATATATATATATATATATATATATATATATTCTAATCTCCATGTGTAGTCTCTCGCTATATACATACACATGCATATACACATAGAAAAAGTATATATATAATATATAATGATCCTTTCATTCAACTTTAAAAGAGCATAAGATTTTCAAATATGATGGTAAAAGCTTGTCCACAAAATGGTAAAGAAAAAAATAAAAGTAATTCTTATTGTGTAAAAATGCTAAACATGGGGGCTGGAGGTTTAGTTCAGTGGCATAAATGTCTACCTTGGAAGCAAGCAGTCGTGAGTTCGATCCCTGGTACCGATAAAAAGGAAAAAGACAAAAAAAAAAAATGCTAAACATCTATTTGAACTAAAGTTTTATTCTCTTAAAAATCAACTTGATGAAAATGTTCAATACACTAATGCTGGTATCTTTAAAATGCCTTGCTATGATGAGGACATTATAGAATATTGTATAGTTTTATTAATATTAATTATCATGTGTGAGTTTTCAGTCCAATTGTTTATTCTGATTAACACATAAAAATAGTCTATCACGACAATGTCAGACTAGTTACAATTATTTTTAAAAATAATTATTACAATTTAGTGACAAGATAGGACAAATATCTTAACTTTTAGTAACTACAGTACCTGGAAGGGACTGCATATTTTAAGCATTGGAATTAGGTTCATTCCAAAATGCATTTACTGTAAGCTTTCATGAGAATTAACAAACTTCAGTAATCAAGAGAGGATATGAAACTATTTTACCAAAGTGCAGTAACCACGAGGTTTCAGAGAGATAAATCAAGAGAGATAAAATAAATACTTAACAGGTTTCTAAGGAGTTTGTCTTTGCTTTCACTTCATATAAATCTTTTCTATTTCAGAGTACTTTATGTTGAAATAGAATATTGCACACGTTGATGCATTAGTTTCATTAGTTCCATAAACAAAATTGCCTTTAGGCACATTGTGTGTACACATTTCCATCTCATTTGAAGCGATAGGTGACACTAGAGCTACTTTTACATACTTGGCAATGGCTCAGAACTCAGTCCCTTGACTTTAAGGAAGGATTATGCAAATATATGAGTAGGAGGATGGTAAGACACATTCTCTGTGGAAAACTCAAAAGCAATCCAGTCAAAAATACCTAAAAAGCACCCGAAACAAAGCACATCATTTGCTTGGACAGTGGTCAGATGTTGTCTTGGGTCTTCAGACTACAACATACAGGAATCAGTGACATACTTCACATTCAAATGGCTTTGGAAGAAAAGTAAATAACACGAAACAAAGAAGAAGGGGATTGATAAATTACTTAAAGGATCTGCAATTTTTATGTTTAAAGATATCTGATCCAGGGATAGTGGTGCCTGTCTCTTGACCTGATACTCAAGATGCTGAGACACTGGATTGCTTCAGCCCAGGAACTGGCGGCCAGCCAGAGCAATACAGTCAGACATTGTCCACAGCAAAGTCTGTAAATACCTGTACAAATTCCACTGTTGTTAACTTTATATAATTTTAACTGGACCCTAACATACTGGAAATCCATTGTTTCAATCTTGTTTCTGTTTCATGTTTTGCTTTTGGTATTAAATGCAGAAAATATACTCTTGAAAATGTATTCCTTTATTATGTCTCAAGAGTAGTATATGCCACATTTTCTACCATAACTTCTGTGCATTCCTTAAAGAGTGATCAGATCTTAATCAACTTTCTGTGTAAAGTACTGGGCAATGAATATACTTTCAATAAGTACATATGGTTGCTTATATATGAATGATCAATTTTAAACACAATTGTGTGTGTTACTGGATTTGAACTTTAATTTAGTTTCCTCTTCTCAGTAAAAGATTTTTTTTTTACCATAGTTTTCTCTTAAGCTTATGTTTAAAAGAGAAATGTTTACTTAATCCATAAAAGTCACATCTGTGGCTTAAAGTGTACTATCTCAGCCAACCTTCTCTCATACTTCCAGGCCTCTTAGATATAGATGGGACTTAACCGCTCCTTATAACATGTACACTTCTGTGAAATTGCCCATTAGCCAGTTAGCACTCCTGTTGTAGATTCTGTCATTCTAAACAAGTCAGTTTTACCATGGGTTCTCATTCCTCTTTAGCACCAAAAAGAGAGATGAGCAGTTTGTTCATGAGCAGACAAAAATAAGTGCAGTGTTCCACAATTCTGCTTTTCAATAAAGAAGATAAGTTACAATAGTAAACATACAAATAAAACCCATGCCTGAGAGTGAGGTAACCGTTATGGAACAAGGAATCACACATATTGGAGGCTATACTGGAGCTCCTTTTTGCTTAGGGAAAATTAGCTATGTGTTGCAGTGTGCCAAGGACAGGCTGGTCCTTTCCAGTCACTTACCCTCTGACAGCATGGATAAGTCTCAGTGATGGATAGGCAGTGCGCACTTTCAGTTTATTCTTAAGGATTAACGCATTAACCCATTCCACGTGCTTCTCTCCTCCTTTGACCATGAAAGCGGGGATCCAAAGGACACTGTCATTCAGCATGGAAAGTCTATGCACAAATTTTGCTTTGTCACTCTCATTCCGAAAGCCTCCAAATGCTCTTTGCACAACTGATGGATTCATGGTTATAAAATCTGATTTAGTTCCCACATCTGCAGCAAACTCCACCACAGGAGCTAGATTACACCTGAAGAGGAAAAACATGAATGGACAGATGAAAAATAAATATGAAACTTTCACTCATAAATGGTGCATATGGAAAGGAAGAATGAAGAACGTTTTTTGTTTTTGTTTGTTTTGTTTTTAACCAGGTGAAAAAAAAAAGTCTAAGGACAATCTGCCTGGTAAACTATATCTGCACTGACTTGCTATACATTAAGGAATGTTGTTTTCAACAGAGACGCACTCCCAGCACAAAGTTCATGTTGCCACTTATATTCAACCTGTTGTTTAAAACTATTTTTAACAGTTATGTTCATAAGACCACATGATGTGAACTCATATTAAGTGAATGTATGACAGTAAATTTACAAGGGGTTTTTCCATGGGATGGGCAATCTAAACCATGCGCTGTTTCATAACTAAAACACATGGGACGTGACATTCCAATCCGCACTGCTGGCCACATTCAAGACTTTTCAAAAACTTTATACATATGCCTAAGTAATCTGGCTTTTCTACACTCCAAGGTTAAGGGGACAGTACAATTTCTTATAGCATTTTCCACAGACATATTTACAATTGCTTTCTGTGGGACAAAATGATAAAGTGAGAAAAATGAAGGTATTCTAATTAGTATGACTTCCTGAGATTTATAACTAATGTAGAAAGCCTTTGCTATCAGATCAAATATCAGCTTTCCTGGACCTTTTGACATTCTTAAGGCATCTCCTTTCTTTGTTAAGCCATATGCATCTCTAAGGGACACATATATAGGAGAAAACAGGGTTTGTGATTATAATCTCACCACAGGAACCACAAGGCCTTAAAAAGAGGTTGTACTTGATCTTACTTTTGCAGTTTGATTCCAATCTTATCTTACAAGACAACTTTGGAGAGTAGTTTGAGTTTGTCTTTAATTAATTTGTGATGCTTTGATTTCATAACATTTATCTTTGGATATTTATTTGTTATTTATTTGTGAATATTTGTAAAAAGGCAGATTTTAATCAGGTCCTGTATGAAAATAAGATTTTTAATAACAAAGAATCACTATCTTGGAAGAAACTACTTGAATATATTCAATCTATACCTTTGTGAGAACACACACATCACATACATATACACAGTAAAAAATAGAACTTCTATTTTTCTGTCTTTTATCAACCTATCCAGGAGATCAAAATTCAATAGGTTTATTATTTCAGCCCTTTGTAAGTCTGATTTCACTACAAGTTCTCACACTGCTCCAGGTTGTACATTTTGCCATCTTAAATAAATCCTCAAATAGCTTAAGTTTTAATTTAAACATGTGTCATACTACTAAGAATACTGCTTGTTTATCCTGCTTTATCTTTCTTAGTACATCTTATTGCTTCCTATATCTCTTGAAACATTTAGTTATAACAACTAATCTCTTTCATTACAACCTGTTAAGCAAATTCTGTTATCTAGAGTGAGCTACTGAAAGAAAATAAAAGTATTATAGAAAAAAGATTACTATCTTTTCAATTTCTATGCATATTTACATACTTTCTATCATATAATAAATTATTTATTTCTCCCTAAAACAATAACTAATATTTTTAATTTCTACCATGATAAGATATCAGAAATAGGACTGCTGTGTAAAACCATTGCTACACATGCATTGATACAACAGTGAACATCCCACTGGGAGATTCATGGGAAATGGAGACTTACACAAGTATTAAAGTCATAAAATGATTAACATACAAATATTAAAGATATTCAAAATCCTAATCAAGCTATCATGAATTTGGGTACTGCAGGAAACGATGCTTCCTGAACATGATTATTATAGACATATTTCTTCATATATAAAATGCAGAAGGTGCTCATTAACATTAAAATTGACATGCCTTTGTTAGGGGAGAAAGGATCCTACATATCTTTCTGATATAACAAATTCTCAGTGCTTTCAGAGAATTCTCGCTTTAAAAAAATCAATCTCTGTCTTCATAACACAAAAATAATTAGAAACAAAGAAGCTGAGGGGAGTAAAATCTATTTTATTCTGAATTATCTTTTCTTTTCAGGATAAATATTAGTTATTTATTGTCATGGTTTATGCCAGTGGCCCCCAAGCTGCATGCAATTATGGACTCAACCAAATCGAGCCTTTGTGATTGGTTAGTTGTCTCATGCTTGGATTGGCAATGTGAGTGCTACACCTGCCTAGGTGTGGTGCCAGGATATGATGTATTGGCGGGAAGAAGGTCTCTCTCTCTCTCTCTCTCTCTCTCTCTCTCTCTCTCTCTCTTTCTCTCTCCTGCTGGTTCATGCCTTGCTGTTTGTGGCTGCCATGAACTGCAGTCCCGCCATGCCACCCTGCCTTGGAACCAACTGTATATGGTCTGAAACCTCCAAAAACTGTAAGAAATAAACCTTTCCTTCCCTAACTTTCAGATTCAGGTATTCTGTCTCAGCGATGAGTAAAACTAAGACAATTATTTTATACTTTTAGTTACATTTCCTTGCCACATACTTAAAAATATTGCCCCCATTCTATGTTTGACACATGATTACAATTATCTGGACATGCATTTTCTAGGAGGCAATAAAAGGGTCATTAACTAAATCTGAATGTTGGGGTTAGGAACTTTCGACTGAAAATCAAAAACAAGCTCGTAAGATATTTCTGGAGAATGGGGTTGATACAGGACACTAAAAAATGCAATTAAGGAATGCTGAACAATTATGAGAGAAACTGGATATGAAAGAGTAATGAATTCACATTTAAAGGTTTTTGAATTCAGAACAGCCCAATATTTCTTGGAGAAATGGTAGCCAAAGCACAAGACAAAAAGACGCATCATAAAATGTAACCTGTGCTGTATCGAGGATTCCAGTTTGTCATTTTCTTGGGAGGTGTTAAGTGTATTTTTTTAGTGGAAAGAATTCAGTGGATATAACATGTCCACATGGGGCCAATGAGTTACTCTGCGGTTAAGTCTGATATTTCATCATATATTTAACTGAATGTCACTTAAACAAGCCAGAATAACCAACCAGCTGTGTTGCACTCCTCAAGTTCAGTAATTTTATGAACTTGAGAGCAATGCTGACAGCAATACTGCTTATTGAGCAAGAATATACATGCATTCTCAATCACAAAATTTGCATCTTTCTTTCAAAAAAATTTCAGAGGTTATAATATTAAAAAGCAACAAGAATTTGTCTCAAACACTTATGAAGCGATACTTGATTACTCACATTATTCTTAACCTCACAGAATGGAAGTGTGGCCAAGTCATAAATGACAGAGCCTTTGAAAGCAAAAACTGCTAAATCCGGAGGTCTCAAGCTCTATTATTTTTGCTCAAATTAATTTTTATACTGCTAAACCAGTTTTTGACAAAATATGAAAACATACACACAAAATGAGATGCGATACTCAAACTCCCTATGTACTCTAAACTGCTCTGCTATCAATTCATGTTGATTCCCCTTTGTTGATTAAACACCTGCAGCAGTACATCCTAGACCTCTGAATTTTCCTCTGTGATCTCACACTGCTTGTCATGAATTTTCACTTTCCTTTATGGTCCTAATGGAAGTTATTTTCATTTATTTCAAGGTTATATAAAATATTAATTTTAAAACTCTTGGAAAAGTCGTATTATTATGTACATGAATGCTGTGGGGACACAGAATTCCACACCAAGGATTATCTTTCAGATTTGCCAACTTTCTCTATATTTATTTTAAATATCCCTAATCTATACCAACAGGAATTGTCTCCTTTATTTACCCAACAGGCCTCTACTGAAAGTTCATAAAGTTAACACAGTGTTTATTGCTCAGCATTCTTTTTCTAGCTATTGAATTATCTTTTTTTTTTTTTTTTTTTTTTTTTTTTTTTTTTTTCTTTCGGTACCAGGGATCGAACTCACGACTGCCTGCTTGCAAGGCAGGCGCTTATGCCGCTGAGCTAAATCCCCAGCCCTAGCTATTGAATTATCCATGGTATCTTAAAATATATGCTCTATACCAAATATAAGACTTTAATAACTTTTATTGTATCAGTAAGAGAAGGCTTATCCTTTTAGTCATCTATTTCCTCATTGCATGATGTACTTTATATCTGAGTTCTGGGTACAGAATTTGCCTTCTAAGATAGTGAGGTAAAAATATCATGTGGTTATTACATACTTACAGATGTAACATAGATTGAATTATAAAGAAATGACTTCTGGTAGGCTATAGACCACTCCTCCCACTTTGGTTAATATTCAGCCAACTTACAGACACATGGTAATTATCCTTTTACTCTTTGACTTGATTCCATTGTGTCTTCCCTGTGCTAACTTCTCTTCATCACAAGTGTGATATTTGCCAATCCAGTGGGATATGAGAGAAAGTCTTTTATATCTTCTGCTCCCAGATGAAGTTTATTAATTCTGTCTGCTCCCTTATTGTTTCTCAGCTTGAAGAGCCAAGGGAAAGAAAGAATCTCTTAGCTATCTTTTTTTCTTCTTTGTGATTACCCTCTCAGAATTGCTAGGAGGGACTAGAATATGCAAACTGTTACTTTCTGACCATTCTGATATGAAAATAGACTCCAAGTACACTGGAAACTAATCATTTTTGCTTAAGGTCAGAAACAGTTCTACCTCAACTTTAGATGAAGAGCTGAAGTCAAAGTGATTAGGAGACATATTCAAATACACAGAGTTTACAAAGAAAATCACAGTCTAATTTGGAATGACTTCAGGATGGGAGTTTTAACTGGTTATGATTTATTTCAAAATTAGGAGAAAATGTCTTATGTTCGTCTTTGACATCAATCTTCACGTAGCAGAAAGGGTGCTTTATCATTTACTCTTGGATTTTAATCTCTGACATATTTTACAAAGCCAATGTCACACAGCCTTGAATTTTACAAAATTCTAAACAGTTATTAAACAAAAGGTTTTAATATCTGCAATATTAGCATAAAATCTATATCTCAGATCATAACATCTATATTTCATATCTTCTGAGGGATATGATTTCTAAAATATT